CCTTCCCCCCCCCCCCAGGTTTTTGAAGGGCGGTTTGTAGACAGGGGCCCTGAAACGTTTTGTTCCGAGGCTGCGCCCCCTCCCCCCCGCCAAGCGCGTTCCTGAGCTCGGAGCAGAGGTCGCCCGTTGTTTTCCCAGCCGTGCATCCTGTCAACAAGATGCTGGATCTGCGTTTGCCGCTTGTCTTGGACAGTGTTCAATTACTGCTTCCCCCCCCCCCATCTGGAGTCCAGATTGGAAAAGCTTTCTTGGGGGAGGGAGACTGAACCGGGTGTGCCCGAAATACCGCCTGGGTGTGCCCGTTGCCAGTCCCAAGTTTGTTCCCTGGCATCTCCCATTGGAAGAGTGACATGAAGGAGCCTTCTCTGCTGGAGCGGAGGCAGATGCGCCGCCAGTCTGACTCTAGAGAAGTTTGCCAGAGGAGAGTCCCAGTTCAGGAGGTGCAAAAAACCCCTGCAAAACCTGGGAGAGAAGACCCAGGATAGAAGGATGAGTATACACCTTGGACCAAGGCCTATCACACCGCCTTAAATGCACTGAAAAAATAAACTCTTAACAGGAGGTGTGGAAGTTCTGTGTGTTTTGGGGGTGCTCAGGGCACTCCTCGTGGTGGCTCCCCCCACAATCTGGAAGGCAGAAGGGTTTGCTTTCAAAAAGAAGGCAGGCAGGGAGAGAGTCCCAACTACTACTGGGCCAAACCTCACACATTTTTGGCCACGACCAGTGTTCCCTCTAAGCTGTGGAATCCGGTGAGCAAAACTTCTACTGGCATTAAAGTTGTGAGCGAGCAGTTTGGCTCCTGGATAAATGAGTTTGCTCTGGGGCCATCCTTCCTGAGCGAAGGCAAAAATGTGTGAGCTGGAGGCTAAAAAATTGTGAGCTGGCTCACGCCAACTCAGCTGAGAGGGAACACTGGCCCCGACACTGCAGCAACAGAGAATCTCTGGCGGGCCACTGTCTTGGACTAGCATGCTAACAGACGGAATCAAGCCCCGCCACTCGGAGACGTTCTCAGAAGGTGCTGTGCCAAATTGCCCCGTGTGGAAGTCCACTGTGTCCCATAAACACTGGGAAGCAACTACTCAACTGGCAGCTTTACTGTCGTCAATATCTTGAGCCGCCTTTGTGAAATCCCACATGATTAAGTGGCTTCCGTTAGAGCGGAGATGGAAGCCGGCCCATCGCTTGCCTCCCTGAGTGTCTCTGTTCTCTGTGGCTTGGTTCTCTTTTTCCAGTTCGTTCCTTTTCCCCTAACGGCGGGTTAAAATCCACTCGAGCTGGACTGGGCAGAAGCCAAGGGGGAGCCAGCCTCCCGTGGTTACCCCTTTGCATTTCGTCGGGCTGAACCCCGGGCGCAAGAGAGCGTAAGGAGGGCAGTTGGGTCGTTGGATGGCCTCCAGAGGGCCTGCCAAGGAGGGGGCAGGACTGGGGGCAATCTATAGTGCTGCAAAGGCGGGCAAGGAAGGGGGTGTGGAATCTGGGGAATGAACCTGGTTATCTACAGCATCTGGGGGTCAGAAGCTGCTGGGATGGGGATACTCAGTGGTTCGAGAGTCAAAGGCCACCTGGGTGGCTGCAGAGAGCCTGGATCCAGGCTAAACCCTGGTAGGTCCGTGCAGCTTTTCCCACCAGTTTTATTTTATATATAAGCAGGGGTCGTTCCGTAGAAAAAGAGGTGCAGGAGCTCATTAGCATAACTCATTAGCATAACCTATTTGCATATGCCACACCCCCTGGCATCACCGGAAGTGTGTCAGGAGGCAACACCCACCGCTCAGGCTCCACTGGACTGTTTTGGATTGCTAGCTATTGGGGGGGGGGGAACGTGCAGATCTGTCCTCGCAGAGGAGGGAGAGCTTGTACCTGAATAAGACTTGGTCTTAAAGGTGCCACTGGACTGTTTTGGACTGGGTGGGCTCTGCAACTTACCTGGCTGCTTCTTGCTCTGACTGAGGGCTGCTGGGAGCAGGGGGTGGGGCTTGTTGCATGTGCCTGCCCCCTGGGCTCTTTACTGCTGGAGCTCCACTCCTGTGCGCTCCTGCAGGAAATGACCCCTGTTTGCGGCCCACCCCAAGGGGCAACAGGACACAGTTGTGAAGGCCCTGAGTTCTAGTCTTCTTCTTCTTCTTCTAGTCCTGATCATTCCAGACCCAATTCACTATCCAGATCACCCAAAGACAGGCTTTGTACCCTGGGCCTTCCATGAAGCCCAGGATGGCTTTAAAACACGGCAGCACCAAATCGAGCCTGCGCAGCCAACTCGTTCACACGCAGCCCTCTTGATTCCCAGCTCTTTTATTATTTTTTTTAAATAACAGTTTTATTTTACATATAAGACAAACAAAAGAAAAAAGACAAACATATATACAACAAAAAGGGGGGAGGGTTCAGTTTACAACATTATTTTGTCTGTTAAATTACCTCATACATTGACAAACTGTATTTTCCCCCCAATTTTCTCCACCTTGTATTTTGGAGTATATCTATGACTAAAAAGAAAGTTATCTCTCCTTATATATAATTGAATAGTGGGTGCCAAAGTTCTAATTCTAAAATGCACTCCCTTAGTGTATGGCTGATGGCACTGCTCCTCAGCATATATTGCCACCAATCAGAAGGCAAAGCCCGGGTCCCGCCCACCCCACAACTGCTGCGACAACCTGGTCTTTTGCATATGGAAGCTGATTGGACTTCAGTCCATTCCACACCTCAAACTCCCCCCCCCCCCCCCGCAAGGCAGTTGGAATGTCAGTTGCATATGGAACCTGCTGTATTCTGGTGGTGTGCAGGTCCCAGGTTCATGTTTTAAAAGCAGACTGACACTGTTTGCCCAAAGCCAGAGCCCTCTCCCAGAGCCTCTTTCTAGCTCCCGTTGTATTTATTTCCACAACGGGCCTTATTTCTAGTAGTTCATATTTCGTTATACTTCGGTTGTGTGTCCGTAGGATTCATCTGTTCGTCTCTTCCATCCATTCGTAAAATCTTAACCATGTATTCTCAAAACCTTCTTCATTTTGTCCTCTCAAAATTAATGTGAGTTTGCCCATCTCTGCAGTTTCAAGTATTTTATCCAAGATTTCTCCTTTCGAAGGCACCTCATTTTTCCTCCAGTATTTGGCAATATAATATTCTTGCAGCTGTCACTACATGTATTATAAGATAGGAATCTTGATGATTTTTTTTTGTTTACAGTTTTCTGGTAATATATTCAATTAAAAACAACTCTGGTGTGTCCCCAGCTCTTTCAAACAGGCCTTCCCGAAGATGGTGGCCCTCCAAACTAGCTGCAGGACCTCCTTCCCCAAGGGACCCCCCCCCCCCCACACACACACACAGGAGGAGAAGCCGCTGGTCGGCTGGAGTGCCTTGGGGATTCAGGGACCCCCTGTGGTCAGCCGGCCTGGGAGAAGTTCCCCCTTGCACACCTTCCCGCGTGGCTGGCTTCGCTTCCTCCTCCCTTGCCAAGATTTCCTTGCCTGCTTCATTAATTATAGAGGCCTGTTTGGTGCTCCTCCGGGCGGGGGTGGGGGAGTGAAACGTGAGCCGCCGCCCCCCCCCCTTTGTAATGTGTGCTTGTAGCAGCATCCCGCCTTTTGTTCTTGGCAGGGCGTAAACAAAGGATGTACAAAGACAAATATGGTCACAGTCCGTAGACATGACAAGATAGAGCCACAGGAACTGCATAAAGTGCGCTCAATGTTTCTTTAACGATAGCAATAATGTTATAAATATGAAAATTACAAAAGTGATACTAATACATTCAAATTGTAAATCCAGTTACATAAGATAGACGATAACGACGACGGCGGGACAGTGGTCTCCGGAATGTGATGCCGTTTGGACAAACGTCTTCTTCTGACCAAGAATCTATAAGCTTATACATGATATACATGATATAATACATATGAACATTAGTACTTACATCTTAGGTAATTGTACAACAAAATTTAAAATAAACTTGGTACAAAACCTTACTAGATGATGTGCAATTTTCCACACATCATCTAGTAAGGTTTTGTACCAGTTTATTTTAAATTTTGTTGTACAATTACCTAAGATGTAAGTACTAATGTTCACATGTATTATATCATGTATAAGCTTATAGATTCTTGGTCAGAAGAAGATGCTTGTCCAAACGGCATCACATTCCAGGGCGTAAAGACACACAGTAGCTGACGGAGGGCGGACGGAGTAAACTTACCTGGGCTTTCAACCTGCGTGTCAAGAAAGGGGCAGGCGCCCCTCTTAGGTCCGGGATGGAACGTCCTGGCAGAGAGGGAACATCTGCATTCCGTGTGCAGTTTGCAGCTCTGCTGTTTTGGAAACTCTGGGGCACCTTAAAAAGCGACACCCTCCACAGATACCCCTTGGCACCCAGTCGTCCACCAGTGAGATGGCCGTGGTGTGTGAAGGAAACACTGGCCGTTTGAAAATAGATGGCGTTTGTGCCCTCAACCCACTGGGCTCAAAAAAATCTCCAAGATTTTGTCTTCACAACAATCCTGTGAGGTGGGTTAGGCCGAGAGTGTGTATGTCTGGCCCGAGGTCACCTAGTGAACTTCCAGGGCAAAGCGTAGATTCGAACCTGGGTCTCCTAGCTCCTTTCCACAATTTTATCCTCACAACAAGCCTGTGAGGTAGGTGAGACTGGCCCAAGGTCCCCCAGCAGGTTTCCATGGCGTGAATGAGGATTCGAACCTGGGTTTCCCAGATCCTAGTCTGATACTCTAGCCACTGTGCTGCTCTCTGGCCACACGATCGTGTGCTTTTGCCTCACCTACATGCGTCGTTGAGTACCTTCTTGGCGGATGACCCGAAAGGTGAGGGTGTTCACATTTCCTGTGTAAAATGGCATCAGTCGCGCCACGTTGATTTGATTTCCCAGAATCCCCTTCCCCATCTGTGCGAGTTTCCTCTCCCAGGTGGTGGAAGCTGTATCCTAGCAGGAGCCCGGGCTGTTCCTTTGACTTCATGTGTCCACTCTCCGTGTCCCCTTCTAGATTACCTAGGGACAGTCCACTTTGGCGTGATCACCGATAAGCTGATCGCAAAAGAGATCCCGCTGACCAACTCAGGGAGTGTCTACTTGCACAGACACGTCAATGCCTCTCTGGTGAGTAGTCTGTTTCTTTGCTCAAAACATTCATATGCTGCCTTTCCACCCAAATAAGAGTCCCTAAGATGCCAGACATCAAGGCACTAAAAACACTGTAAGATGTCTGGGTCAGAAGCCGGACCGGAAGCCGTGCATTGATCGAAACGGCCCCATCATCTTGGTATCGATGATCAGGGCCGGCTCGCTCACTAGGCGAACTAGGCGTTCTCCTAGAGCGCCCCAGCCCTTAGGGGCACCAAACTGCACCCACCCCCCGCCAAAAGCGCCCCTGCTGTCTCTGACGGGGGGCGCACGGGGGGGGGGGGCGCCAGAAGGGATCCTCGCCTAGGGTGCAAAATATGCTGGGGCCCCAATGATCCTTCCCAGCAGGAAGGGTTAGCCAATCTGTGTTCTTTTTGAATGGAGGGAAGAGAGATTCTTTCTGTCTTTTTGAGAGCCAGTGTGGTGTAGTGGTTAGGAGCGTGGACTCTAATCTGGGAGAACCAGGTTTAAGTCCCCACTCTTCCACATGCTGCTGCTGGTGTGACCTTGGGTCAGTCACAAGTTCTCTCAGAGCTGTTCTCTCAAGAGCAGTCCTCAGGAGAGCTCTCTCAGCCCCACCTGCCTCACAGGCTGTGTTCCCTCTAAGCTGAGTGAGTGTGAGCTAGCTCACTGTTTTTCAGCCTCCGGCTCACACATTTTTGTCTTGGCTCAGGAAGCAGTTGGCTCCAGAGCAAACTAACTGATGCAGTAGCCGAATCGCTCGCTCACAACTTTAATGCCAGTAGCTCACAAAGTAGGATTTTTGCTCACAAGACTCCACAGCTTAGAGGGAGCATTGCTCACACGGTGTCTGTTGTAGGGAGGGGAAGGGAAAGGAGATTGTCAGCCGCTCTGAGACTCCTTTGGGTCGTGAAGGGCCATGGGGTATAAATCCAATCTCCTCCTCCGCCTCCTCTTTGGTGCTCCCTCTTTTTAAAAGCAAGGCCTGCAGTGGCTCAAGGAGTTAAGACACTGAACTGCAGACCGGAAGTTCGGTAGCTTGGCAGTTTGAGACCCGAGTGCCGCAGGACAGAATGAGCTCCCATCTCTGGCCCCAGCTCCTGCCCACCTAGCAGTCTGAAAACAAGAAATTGCAAGTAGATAAATAGGGAATGCTTCGGTGGGAAGGTAACGGTGTTCTGTGTGCCTCGGCATCTAGTCATGCCAGCCACACGACCATGGAAACGTCTTCGGACAGCGCTGGCTCTTTGGCTTGGAGATGGAGATAAGCACCGCTCCGTAGAGTCGGATTCGACTGGCTTTCGAGCAAGGGAAACCTTTACCTTTTTAAAAACAGTGCTGGGAAATTAATTCTTTGACTTACCTTCTGGGCAGGTTGTCTCCTGTGTGAGGCCTGGGTTCTCTTCTCTCTCCCCAAGGCTTGGGGCCTTCCTCGTCTTCTCCCACAAAGGCCTCACAGCTTTACGAAGGATGGGTGTGGGAGCCAAAGGTCCCTCTTCCCGTCCCTCCCCACCGTTTGCAGTGGGCCGCTTTCGCTGGTAGATTCCTTCACACTAAACCTGAGGACATTTCCCTTCCTTTCTAGCTCTTTCCGCACGAAGCCATGAACTACACCGCCGAAAACGTCTGCCGGTGGGCCTTGAAGAACCAAGAGACGTTCGTCCGCTGGCTGAGGCCTCACGGAGGGAAAAGCCTCTTGCTGAACAATGAGCTGAAGAAAGGCCCGGCCCTGCTCCTCTTCCTTCCCTTTGACCCCTTGGCAGAAGACCAGCCGCTTGTCGATGAGGTGAGCCATCCTTCTTCCCCCCCTCAGTAGGTGAGAAGAACTGCGGTTGCCAGCCACTTTTGGGTCCCCAGTTGGGAAAGAAGGTAAAGGTTTCCCTTGCTCGAAAGCCGGTCGAATCCGACACTAGGGGTGCGGTGCTCATCTCTGTTTCCAAGCTGAAGAGCCAGCGCAGTCCGAAGACATTTCCGTGGTCATGTGGCTGGGATGACTAGATGCCGAGGCGCATGGAACGCTGTTACCTTCCCACCGAAGCGGTACCTATGTACGAAGCCTGGTCCTCTACTTGCAATTTCTTGCTTTCGAAATGCTGGGTTGGCAGGAGCTGGGGCCAGAGACAGGAGCTCACTCCGTCACGTTGCACTCGGGTCTCGAACTGCCGAACTACCGACCTTCCGGTCTGCAGCTCGGCGTCTTAACTTCTGAGCCACCGCAGGTATAAATGTCGGAAGGAAATGCTTCGCCTCAGTCGCTTGAGCAGAGAAAGCCTTGCTTTCGTGTGCCACGGATTGGTGCACGTTGGGGTGGTGGTGGTGCATGCGCCTGAGCATAACATGCGTGCCCGTCTAGGCCTGCTGCAGATGTATTTATAATCCTGTGAGTTCTGAACTTTGTGAGACTCTTGCAGAACCAGGCTTCTTAGGAATTCAGTTCACAGAATACTCTTTCCTGGGTTTGCAGGGGCTGGACTAACCCCTGGACTTGCGAGCCCCATTCTCTGGGGTCCTGGGAGGTCAGAAACACACACACACCCTCACAGCTGCCCCAAGTCCTTGCTTGGGGCAGCCACCCTTTCCCCTTAATCCCAGGGGGCACCATACCTCTCCCTAGGTAGTAACTGCTGACTCTAGACAGGTTTGCACATCTGGCACATGCGGTATTTGACAGTGCTACGGCCCCTCTTGCCAGCTCTCCAGTCGCAGCTGACTTACAGTGACCCCCCCCCCCATGGGGTTTTCAAGGCAGGAGAGGATCAGAGGTGGCTTGCTGTGGCCTGCCTCTGCTTAGCAACCCTGGGACCTCCTGCATGCCCAGCAGAGGCTCTGCCACTGAGCCACGGCCCCTCTTGACAGCTCTCCAGGGTCTCAGGCGGAGGTCTTTCCCATCCCCTCCTGCCTGGTCCTTTTTAACTGGAGATGCTGCCGGGGACTGAACCTGGGACCTGCTGCATGCCAGGCAGAGGCTCTGCCACTGAGCCACGGCCCCTCTTGACAGCTCTCCAGGGTCTCAGGCGGAGGTCTCTCCCATCCCCTCCTGCCTGGTCCCTTTTTAACTGGAGATGCCTCTGGGGATTGAACCTGGGACCTCCTGCATGCCGAGCAGAGGCTCTGCCACTGAGCCACAGCCCCTCTTGACAGCTCTCCAGGGTCTCAGGCGGAGGTCTTTCCCTTCACCTCCTGCCTGGTCCCTTTTTAACTGGAGATGCCGGGGATTGAACCTGGGACCTCCTGCATGCCGGGCAGAGGCTCTGCCACTGAGCCACGGCCCCTCTTGCCAGCTCTCCAGGGTCTCAGGCAGAGGTCTTTCCCATCCCCTCCTGCCTGGTCCTTTTTAACTGGAGAGGCCGGGGATTGAACCTGGGACCTCCTGCATGCCAGGCAGAGGCTCTGCCACTGAGCCACGGCCCCTCTTGCCAGCTCTCCAGGGTCTCAGGCAGAGGTCTCTCCCATCCCCTCCTGCCTGGTCCTTTTTAACTGGAGGTGCCTCTGGGGGACTGAACCTGTGACCTTCTGCATGCCAAGCAGAGGCTCTTCCACTGAGCCACAGCCCCTCTTGCCAGCTCTCCAGGGTCTCCGGCGGAGGTCTTTCCCATCACCTCCTGCCTGGTCCTTTTTAACTGGAGAGGCCGGGGATTGAACCTGGGACCTTCTGCATGCCAGGCAGAGGCTCTGCCACTGAGCCACGGCCCCTCTTGACAGCTCTCCAGGGTCTCAGGCGGAGGTCTCTCCCATCACCTCCTGCCTGGTCCTTTTTAACTGGAGATGCCTCTGGGGACTGAACCTGGGACCTTCTGCATGCCAGGCAGAGGCTCTGCCACTGAGCCACAGCCCCTCTTGACAGCTCTCCAGGGTCTCCGGCGGAGGTCTTTCCCATCACCTCCTGCCTGGTCCTTTTTAACTGGAGAGGCCGGGGATTGAACCTGGGACCTCCTGCATGCCAGGCAGAGGCTCTGCCACTGAGCCACGGCCCCTCTTGACACCTCTCCAGGGTCTCAGGCGGAGGTCTTTCCCATCACCTCCTGCCTGGTCCTTTTTAACTGGAGATGCTGCCGGGGACTGAACCTGGGACCTCCTGCATGCCAGGCAGAGGCTCTGCCCCTGAGCCACAGCCCCGAGTGAACGCCCTCCAGGGGGTCCTCTCCTTGACAACCTTGCCTGGGTCTTGCACACAGAGGGTTGTGAAGTGCCACACCCTCCACAGCTGAGTCATTTTAGCTTCTAGGGGAGAGCTCAGGCTTGAAGAAGAAGAGAAGAAGAGATTGGATTTATCCCCCACCCTTCCCTCAGAGTCTCAGAGCGGCTGACAAACTCCTTTCCCTTCCCCTCCCCACAACAGGCACCCTTGCAAGGGAGGTGGGGCTGAGAGAGTTCTTGACAGAAACTGCTGTTTTTTCAAGGACAGCTCTTATCAGAACTACGGCTTGCCCAAGGCCATCCAGCCAGGTGCAAGTGGAGGAGTGGGGAATCAAACCCGGTTCCCCCAGATTAGAGACTTAACCACTATGATTTAACCAGATTAGAGACTTAACCCCACTTTAAAAAAAAATATATTATTGAAAGGTATGCAACAAAACAGCAAAGATTAAAAACCCCACTTAACCACTATGCCAGATTTTTGCAGCCGGGTCAGAGCTTTCATGAGGACAGCCGGACATGTTCTCCGTTCCCTTTGCTCCTGGTGTGGGGAGGTGGGGAAGATCAGCCGGGGGGCGGGGGGGCAGCCCTGCGCTGGCTTCTTGATTGGACAGGCAGCGACGGAAGGAATCCCCTGTGAGTGGGACGTTTCCTCTGAGCCTCTGCCGCCCTGGGTCGCTGGCTTTGTTTCTCCCAACGTTGGATCCGGCAAGACGAGGAGACCCACGCTGTGCCGTTTTCTTCCTCCCACAGATTTCCAGCCTGGCTTTGGCCTACAACCGCTGCAACCGAAGCGGCCCGGGAGGTCCGGGCACCGACCGTCTGGGAGGAGGAGGAGGAGGAGAGACGTCGCCTGCCACCGGCCCCTTCCCGCCGGCCGAGCCCTTCCCCATCTCCCAGTCCCCGTGCTGCAACACCGTGGTGCTCCCCCCGCAGCCGCCTGCCATCTCCCGGACCCACAACGTCTGCGAGCTGTGCGTCAACCAGACCGTGGGGGTCCAGCCCAGCTGGCTGGGCGGCCTGCACTGCAGCTTCTTCGAGATCGAGGCGGCCCTGGACTCGTTCTACCTCAAGGAGCGGACCTTCGTCCAGGTGGTCTCGAAGACCGCCGCCTTGTGCAGCAACTTCCTGAGTTCTTACAGCCCTTTCAGCTACTACACGGCCTGCTGCCGGACGGTCGACGGGGGCGTGCGGAGCCTTCTCTTCGGCTCCCCAAAGACCCCTCCCCCCCTGCCCCCGGGCGTGGCCTTTCCTTCCCACGGGAAGAGGTGGGAAGAGGAGCCCCCCCGCTCTATGCCTCACATTGAGGACAGGAGGGGTCTTTCCTTGGACATCACGGGCCTGAGCTGCCGGACCAACAAGACCTTGAACCTGTACCTGCTGGACTCGAACCTCTTCTGGATGTACGCGGAGAGGCTGGGGGCGCCGCGGCTGGCCCCCACGAAGGAGTTTGCCGCCATCGTGGACCTGAAGGAAGAGGCGCACTTCGTCCTGGGCCAGAGCCGGGCCTTGGTCCGGCCTCATCTAGGTATGGCCCGGTGAGGCTCTCTCTTCCTGCTGCCTGTGTCACAAGCAGAAGGGGGCGTCAGGGGCGTTTGCTAGCTTTGCAGAGGGTCCGAGTTGTTGATAAAAAATGGGCCATTACTTAAGCTATTTTCTCCCCCGCCTCTCCTCCGCCTGAGGTGGCTTGGAATGGTGACAGCAGCCCGTAAAACCGCCAACCGCTACCGTAAAACCCGTGGGTCCGCTTCCTCTTACTCCTCCACCAGCTATCAAATATCCCTCTCTGGAGAGGCGGCTCCTGCGTCCATTACAGAGA